ATATTGCCTATATAAAACTCCTTAAAAACTGCCCACTTTCCCAATTCCCTTAGCAGCCATTTTTTTTACAATTTGAAATATAATATTGAATCTTTTAATATCCAGTCGTATGATACCAATTCGTTTGGTTTTTAATTTATAAAATGATATATTTTATTTAATAATGTATTTTTCGATTAACAATATTATATTGTATTATAGTTAGGTTAGGTAACCTACTTATAGATTTTGTGGATAATAACGATAAATAACTTGCTTGGTAACAAACAAATCAGAATCGCCTGGACAAAACATAAACTCATAAGTCATTACTTTTACGTCGACTCATAAAATTATTTTTTCTTAATAAAGTTCCGTGATTTTTTAAAAAAATTATTTGTATTTTGTGTTTACTGTGACTTTTTAAATGAATAAAAGAGATCGAAAGGATTATGTTTACCAAGATACCATTTATCGACCAATTTGAATGTATGTTTATATATTATTTTAAATATTTATATAGTGATTATAAAACTTCTACTAAACAAGACAATTCTACCATAACTTCTTTATACGACTATCTAATATTCTTTTTTTAGTACTAAACTAGAGCTTCACTCTAGCTGGGGGCTCCGCCCTTAGGCCCGCGAGTCGAGTGGGTAGGTCACAGACCCCTGGTACTATACACGACTACGCCGGACACGCTCACGACCACTCGCTGCAAAGTATTTTCGGGGAGGTCACAGATTCCGAGTGGGGTGCCCGGTTGCGCCGGCCACGGTGTCGAGCCATCGCAATACGTCTTAAGATAATATCGTTATAATTCATGGTACCTATAGGCTATATCTAGTGATCAGAATTCATACCTAGTTTTGGGCAAATATTTTTCAAGCTAAATACTGATTAAGTGTGGTGTAAGTCTAGCTATGTATCTGTAATTTTTTTAATTTTAATTTAAAAAGAATATTCTAGAAGTTGGATGGTTAATCAAATATCAAGTGTCCGGTGTTGCTTACTTGGGTTGCTACCACTTTTACCAAATAGCATGAATCACCAATGTCCAGTTTCTTATCAGTGGGCGGAATTCGTATTGATAACTGATGAGGACTACAGGTCTCCGAGTATTTTGGCACTTGCTCGCTAGGCTCGCTCGGCGCCGTCGCTTCGCTCCGCTAACTAAAAACATCCTAGGTTTGTAGGCTATAGTCTAGGAAAAGGTTACAGGTTTAAAATTAAGTTTAAGTAAGGTTTTTCTAAAAAGTTAAAGAGACTTGATAAGAAGCTGGCCATTGGGAAAAAAGGTCTTTGGTAAAAGTGGTGTCATCCCGCTTAACTTTATGAGTTGAAAACAGATAAAAATGTCTTGAGGTCAGTCGGCTAAATGTCTGTAATGGTTTACAGCGGTTCCGAGGGGGTGTCGGGCCAACGCATTGTGTCTTAAAGCAATGTCGTTATAATTCATAGTAGTCTAGCTATCATACCTAGGTTCAAGAAAATATTTTCCAAGCTAACTGATTAACTGTAGTTTAGCTATCTGTCAGATCAGAAACGATCTATGTAACTATAAAAATTCGAGTAGCTGGTGCTCCTTTCACTATTAGATTAATTAGACTACAATAAATATATAAAATCAGACGGTTAAAAATCAAGTGTCCGGTTTTGCTTACTTAAGGGCTTAGTAAGCAATGGTCTAAAAGAGAACGTAATATTTAGAGGTCGGTAGGCTAAAATATCGAATGTCTGGTGTACTGTAGATACCTATAACAAAACTTTATCAAACGTAGTATGTTATATGTCTTGATATTGGTTGAATTAAAATCCTTATTTGTTCAGAAATCACTGTCTATGCCATTATCTGATAATGACGCACTGTACGTTTATAATGTAACCATCAGCATAATGCATTAAATATGTACATTAAAGTATGGTGGTTTAACAGAAGTTCAAAAGTGCTTAAGAACTCAAGAGTAAAACATGAATGAAATGTCTAGAGTTTAATCTGTATGTATTAAAACTTAAAAGGGAAAGAAGTGAAAAGTGATAAAAATATTATTTTGATTTTTAATTGACTATTTGGCCGTGCTTATAAAAACGTACAAAAAGAGGTTAAATGAAATGTCTCGAAATCTTTAAAATTTTAGATCTGGACCTTAAATGCTAAAGGTACTTTGATACTTAAGGTCTGACGGTTACTTAGGAATTCAAGAGTACAAAACATGAATAAAACGTCTAGATGTCAATCAGTATATATTAAAAAAGAAAAGAATTGAAGAATAATAAGTAAGTAAAAATAATTTGTAGCAAATATTTTTAATTTTTGATTATTCGAGTGTCCGGCGGTGATTATAAAAACGGTCAAAGAGTACAAAATGATAAACAGTTAAATAAAACAACTTTTAAGTGTTTAGATCTGGACAGTTACATAATAATAATAATATTCAGTGCATTAAATACCTACAATATTTGATACTTATCCAGAAACATATTTTATATAAAATAGATAAATTGATATATACATTCATATCTTTTTAATTAAACCATGAAAGGTATAAATCCATATATTGATATTTTTTTTAGATGGCTAACCAACAATTCATCCCACTGAATGATAACTAAAAATTTTTAAATAATTTTATTTTTCATTAGGTATGTAGTATCAATTAAAAAAAATATTGCAAAATCTATAGTTATAACTTTTTTAGGAATGGAACGAATACTTTGCTTTTTGCTTAAGTATTTAATTGTTTGTGACTCGAAAAATATTTGTTTAAATCTGATTACCAACCACTTTAGACGTATAATACTGGTATATACGCAGGTGTTTTTTCGGCAGTATAATTTATGTTCTTTTCCTTATCCCTAATTAAAAGAAAATCGAATTTTTTTTTTTGAATGTCAAATAATATCGATTTATTTTTCTTACAGCGAAAAAATTACAATACGAATTATTCAGTAATTCATTAATTAACAAACGCCGTTAATATCTTTGTTAACATTAATTAAAAGCAACCAAAAGTCAAAACAAAGTGATAATAACATATTAAAATTATACTGAAAATAAAATATTAAATATATTACCTACATTAAAGTACAAAATGTTCTTTGATAAAATTTCGTTAAATAAGTAAACGCTTATAACTACTATTGTTATAAATTATTATTAGGTATCTTTCTATTAAATATATATATAAAAAAAATACATGGAGAAAAATTATCTGGCATTATATTTGTAATGATTACAAAAAGCATAGCAGCTATTAGAAACGAGTTTAGTTATTATAACTTGAAACTCAATGGTTTTATCAAATATGTTTTCAGTGAAATTAATAGTTATTTTAGAAGTTTAACCAAAGAATATTTTGACAATATTTATCCTAAAAAATACCTAACACAAAATTGAATTAATAATTATTTTAAATGTATACTTAGTATACTTGGGCATATCATGGTTTAAATTAAATATAGTAACTTTAAAAATCATTATTTTTCTAAGAGCTGTTTAATAAATAAATCCCACTTTTTTGGCAAAGGCGCACTTTACTAAAAATGATAAGATACCATTTTACCACTCAACTGTTTTCATTGCAACATTTTTCATTACACTCGTCGTCGATAACAGTATATTTTGATGTTTGCTTTTAAATAGTATTCGTTGAAAATATTGTGCAGGCTTTTTATGGTGTACATTATTTCGTAAGCTTTATTTGTAATCCGAGTACGTTCAAGACATATTTTCCTCAGTACAGCTATATGACCACATTGTAGGTATAATAAAGATAATAATAATATTGTGTAATATGCGGTTACGCCCTTCATTATGGGGGCAATGATTTTTAGTGTGACGATTACAAACCAAAACGACAGTAGCTTTCCCAACCGTTTGTTGTGTTATGTGTACGAGTTGAGCATATTTTTATCGGAAAAACTTTAGGAAGAAAAAAAAATGACACTTTTACATGTTCGTAAGATCCCGAGGGGCAGATTTACGATACCGTAAAGTAAGCCACCCGAATAGCCGTAAAGTCCTATATTGTCCCTGAAAATCGCATTTTTACACGCCCCTTGCTGGCTATCAACTTCTTCAACATGAAACGAAAATCAGATATAGTTTAGCTTTATATTGTTGTCGCTGTAGGGCATAGCATACGCCTGACGTCACCGACTTCATCAGTAACAATAGTTACATAATATTATTATTACGGCGAATGAAAAAAAAACTATTAACACTTTATTATTATTTTAACTTATTTTTTTAAATACACAAAATTAATATTATGTATATCAAACAGCTAGAAATATGGTTATCCTGTTATACGTATTCGTTGGAAAATGTTTTGTTACATATGACGTACTATATAATTAAGTCAATTAATTTAAATCAATTTAATGCGAGTACATGTAAAAACCACCTAATTTATGTACAGAGGGAAAAATCATAAAGTGTTTTATGTGTCTATTAGGGGTGGGAGATAAGGTTAAGAAATAAGGGTAAGAGATTATTCAAATTAGAACTAAATGATGAATTCAAAATAGTTTAAGGGCCCAGATTCTCTATGAATTGTTTTAAGCCAGATATTAAATACTACAATATTAGCCAGAAACTTGATGTTTTAATATACTAGCTTGTTACTGCTTCTTAATATACTATATCATTATCTATAATTCCACCACTACTCTAAATTTATTCGGTACTTCAACGAGACATGAAAATGCTTTTTCGTAGTTGCAGACTCAGCTGAAAAACTTTTTTAAATTTTCATATAAATTATTTATTTAGTTAGGTAACACTAAATTTGAAACAAAAACGAAATCTTTATGTTATTCAACTAATATACCTCAGCTTTAACACCACATCTAAACTGACATCCAAACAGAGACCTTTGCCAAACGAAAGTATTTTAACTGATTTAACACTTAAATACCTAAAGTTAAATAAGAATTACATTGTTGTTGTTCTTAGAGCCTTAATTATTTGTTTCTGTATTAAAAGTCTCTCTCAAAAAAAAAAAAAACAATAGCAATTTTATAACAATATTTTATAATGTAAAAAAACTACAGTTAACAAACTATACTCTCATATGCTACTTACACCAATTGTAATACCTATTTAAAAATGTAACATTGTTTTTCATATTTATACAACAACACAACTAAATAAATTAACCCTATACATACATTTTTATACTACATAATATTACAATAAGTTTTTAGAAAAACAAAATACTTTTCAACCAGAAAATTTTAATGTAAATACACATAAATAAATATATTGCTGAGATAATATCAACAGATATATGATGCACTATTATGCGCAGTTAAAATGGTTTCTTGAAGAATTAAACTAATTTTTATTAACTGACAATGAATCATTACTAATCGACTTCTAATTTCCTAAATGAACCTTCAATTGAGTTTTCAAAATAATCCAATTGATTGTTAGAATTTTTTGGGCGTTTACTGTTATCTGCAACAATTGACGATTGTGTCATAAACCATTCTCGATGCTTTATCAATTCATCACCCCAGTCATCTAAAATTAAAATTATTATACAGTTCATATATTCAAGCTAAAACGACATTCATATTTATTGAAATAAATAATTCGTAATCCATAGTTCAAAAATAAATTAGTTTTAATCATACATATCATACCCATCAACATAGTCTGTTAGTTATTCATAAATTTTATAACAAGCAAAAACTGAAATTCGTACATCAAAAGATACTGCGATAATATCCGTTTTTAAGCAAGAACTAACACTAAAATTGTTATGGCGATACCAGGTTAGAGATAATAGAATAGTGAAAAGAAATTGGAGATAAAAATAGAGTAATGATTTAAAGATAAGAGATTAGATATTAGAGATACTAGAATAGAGAAAAAATTATAGATAAGAGATAAGATATCAGAGATAAAAATAAAGATAATGGAAAAGAGATTAGAGTTAAAAGGTGGTCCAGCTATATGCTGGAGGTGAGGTAAGAAATTAGAGATAAAACATTCGTTATTAGATAGTACCAATTACTACCAGGGTCCTATAATTGTATATTAAGACATATTCATGTTCCTATGTTCTTCCTTGCAGTAGAGATCATGCCCACTTTTTTTTGGAATAATTTTTACAGATTACTAACCTATTATTTCTTCAATCGTCTTTGGATAAGTTCCACCGTAGTTAAGTGGAAGAATACTAGGATCGATGAAATTTTTCAATTCTTCAATGGATTTGTGAACAAACACCTATAATATTAATATTTCATTGAAATTTGTATAAATAACTCTTAAAATATGAATGATTTACCTTGTCGGCAATTTTCTTTTTCATAAAACTTAATGGTAAACTAATAAATGGAGTTAAGAAACTTTTTATATTAATTACGTGAATTTCATGTAGCCGTACTGGAAATGCCGCCTGAACAAAATAAAAATCATATAATACAAATAAGTTATTATTAACCTATTTGTTATGAATTATGATTAACATTTAAATTAAACATTATATTATATTATTTATACATAATGTTATTTAATTATTAAAACATATACATACATTAACTAGTGATGGGAAAATCCGGATTTTGCGAAGTTCAAAAAACCGGAGTTGTAGTATTCGAACTTCGAAATCCGGATTTCGAAGTTTTCGTTATAAATCCGGGTTTCGAAGTTTTCATTATAAATCCAGATTTCGGAGTTTTCATTATAAATTCGTAGATTGGATTTCAATTTTTTTACAATAATAAATAAATTATAATTGTTAATTATTTAGTATTATGTACAACGCGTTTATGTAGCGTACAAAAAAAATATTTAATTATTGAATTGGTAAATTAGGTATCTGTTTTTATAGTTATATGAACATTATGTATAAACACGATTTACAAGTCTCAATGACACTTTTATAATAGATTAGAGCAATAAGTTGTAATATTATGAAAAATACACAACACAATATATATATATATATATATATATATATATATATAAATTAGGAAAAATAATAAGTCAATCTGGAATTGTATATGTCTTAAATCTAAACAAATAATAATAATACTAATAATACTTTTTGATATAAATAGTTAAGCAGTAGAACCAATTACATTATATAAAATTGTAGTTAATTTTCGGTTGTTTTTAAAGTAATTGACATTTTAAATAAAATGTGCTACAGTTGATTGGTAAATTGTTCTTGTAATAAAATTATTTTTTACTTTTTAGTTCACTTTTTACTATTTTTTAGAAAAGCATGTTTTTAAAAACAAAGTTCTATTTATTAATTTATTTTATTTTTTACTTTTTAGTCCTATTAAAGGTACTTAATAATTGGTGAATAGATTACTAAATTCATTTTAGAAGATTTGAAAAAAAAAAATTAAATTTTAGTGAAATGGCCGCCGTATTTGACCCCCCGGCGTTTGCGACCTGGATGTCTAGGTCCCCATATTTTGACGTAAAATTGTATTGTCATCCAAAATGAGTGTCTAGGTTGAATTTCAGCCTATATGATATCAGGAAGTGGGTTAAATTAATTTTAGAAGACTTGAAAAAAACATGAAATTTTAGTGAAATGACCCCCACATATGACCCTGTGTAGGGCGACCTGGATGCCCGAGTCCCAATATGATAACATTATATTATAGTGTCATCCGAGATGAGTGTCTGTGCCATGTTTCAGCCTTCTACGTCATCGGGAAGTGGGTTAAATTAATTTTGCAAGATTTGAAAAATATCCGTACAAACATACAGACGTACGGACGTACGTACGTGTTAGCGAGTTAAAGAAAAGCATATAAAAACTACTCAAATATAGCTTACAGTTTTTAAATAGGTAATTGTTTTCAATATATCACAAATAGTGAACTGTAATACAGCATACTTACTTTGTATTTAAGCTAAATTACATATATGAAACTTAAAGTTCATTAGAAACATATAACTTAGGGTAGTTTAGTTGAAAGGGTCCGATAATAGCATTTCATAGAGGATTAAAAGTCAACTAATTTAAACAATTTGGTCATCTTGTACTGCTGAATTAGTAATTACAAAATGGCTTTATAAATTTTAAAATCGGTAATTTGGCTTTTTATTTAAACCCAGGTTACGGTTTCTCAAGTTCAAAGTTTGGAATCCGGATTTGTCATTAAACCCGGATTCTTCGTGAAATCGGGAGTTTTTTCATTGAACTTCGAAAACCGGATTTTACGGATTTTAAGAAAATCCGGATTTATTTCCCATCACTAACATTAACTATTAAAAGTTTCAAGCCTTTCTGAGGGAAAGAGCTTATGACATTTACATATTATGTGAATGCTGACGTAAGTACATCGTTAACTTTTAAAACTGCGAATTATTTACTAACAATAATAAGTCACGATAACAGTTATATCAGATTTTAGTAAATCTCAGAAATTTAAGTCTTGCAAGGTGGGTAATCCTTGCAAACCGCCAAGGATAATAGAATAAGTTAATTAAGTAAGTTAGTTTTTGTCTAGATACAATTTTACAGTTTACATAACTTTACACAATATAGCCTTACAATAATACACTTAGGAAAAATGTATATTTTTGATACTTTTTACAGACATGTTATCTTTTAGAACATATATGTTGACATACTTGTATTGCCAACTTGCCAATTTTTCAAAAAGAAACATATGTTTTTAATTTTTTAAATATGTAGGCCAAAATTTAAAAAAAAATGTTAAGTTTTGATATGTTTAATTTTCATTAATCTCTTCGTTTGCTATGACATTGTAAATATTTAAATTTAAGAACAATATTTCTTCGGGTCTTACAACAGTAGCACAACAGGTTCTCATTAATTTTTAATTGACCCTTGTAGATAGCACAGTAATTGCCAATATATTTGAAAAGGCAGTAAGGTCCGCTTGTCTATCGTTATCTTAAAACATGTATAGTCTGGATATTGGTGTTTTCACCTATCGGACAATGCGAACATAAATATGAATTTTATGAGCTACTGGAATTTGGGAAAACGAAGAAGTGTAATAGTTATAAAGGGAAATGAAATCGCTTTGCAAAGTCATAGCAAACGAACATATAAATGAAAGTTTAAATTTGAACACCAACATTTTAAAACTGTTTGTTTACATATTAATGGAATTTAAAAAATATGTTTCTATTTAACAAAACGAGATTCATGTAAATTTTACTTAAATGTGATATAAATAAAAATCTTCAACGGATTGAAATATATATGTAGGTACCTATAAGTATTGGGAAAAAATATTTACAAAATATTCATATTTTCTGTGAGTGTATTCTATCAGGTAGACCACCCTGTATTATTATCATCAGCTTAACGGCACCTAACGCTGCCAACATGAGATGATGCGGTTTCTAGACGGATTCGCTAACCGGGACGGGATGTCCTGGGGGTCGGCGGCTACTTTTTACTGGACGATTACTTGCCAGGCAAACGGAGCGCCTGCCATTCATATAGTGTCGAACCGGTCACAGTGTATCACCCTGTATACAACAGCTATACGTTGTTTTTTTTTTTGCTTAACTCCCTATAATGTCATTACCTGATAAATGTTTTTTTTTTTTTACGTAAAATACGTATAAATGCGTACCTAGGCGTCACGTTCACTGTTATTGGTGGGATCATATTTTGTAAATTACCTTATAGATTTATAAGTGTAGTTTTATAACAATATCTACGGTTATATTTATATAAGTATAGGTATATTTATAACAAATAATTTATCAGATCGTACATCACAGTTAAGTTAAATGTAAATCAAAAAAAATTACTTACAAATGAACTTTCCATGTATTTCTTCACAATGGGTAACGCTGGTGTTACGTGATTCATTGTAGTATTGTTGCAATCAATTATGTATATATCCTTTACCCAGGTGTCTAACTTGGCGGTTCTGAGATCATATGTCATATAACTCAATTTAGTATAATCATCAGTTACAAAATTATTGGTATCTTGAGTACTCCTATAAAAAACGCTAACTCTGTGGCCCTCGTGTGTAGGCTTTGGTAATGGGACGAAACAACTAAAAAATGATTATCAATTAAAATTGTTAGTTAAATATTAATCAAATGTTCATAATGCTTAAGAACATTTCATCTGAAATATAATATTAATAATAATAATAATAAATAATATAAGGTTAGTAATTTCTTATACGCACGATTGTGAAAAAATTCTGCTTGATTTATTAAAACGATTATCGGTTATTTAATTTGAAGCAACTAAAAAAAATAAGTATGTACACATAGATACTAACTTTAGTTTTATTGATTGAACTAACTCTGGTGAAGTCGGATCCCAGTTGGAAAACCATTCTGGTACTGAGAGTTTTATAGTGTAATGCTGGTCCAACTTGACTTTGGTTTTTTCCAAACTATTCTTACACATCAACAGAACCATTTTGATTCGCTTTTCATCTATTATCTTTTCATCATCTATTAAATATTACTATTTTTTTAGTGTTTAATAACATAAACATAATATCGTACTGACAGTAAATGTTTTGGACAAAAATTATAATGCCCAAAAATAGAAATAATTTATTTTACCGTCTGGGTTAGGAAGGTGAGGCTGTTTTCGCATCCACTCCTTAAGAATTTTCACGTCGAGATCCATTTTTTCATCCGTCGTATCGAATTTGCTATATATTTGTTTGATTGTGCTCGGCGATGGTAGTATTAACGTTTTAGTTTCCATTTCTATTGAAGTGGTATCTTACACACAAGCTTTAAGTGTTATAAATGGTTAATTTATAATACAAATGAAAACAGACTTTTATTGTAGAATAACACTCTAGACTGAGAAAGGTATAAGACTATACTAATACTATATCTTTAACGACATTCAGTTTTTTAGGAGTTTTTTTGAAAAATAATTAATATACAAGATTGTTTGTTTTTTTCCTAAAAGATTTAATTAAGTTGCGTAATTAATTATTATTATCATAAATAGCATTGTAATTTTTTTCACACGTGTCTATATTTTATACTCAGTAGTGTTATTTATTTACTATAATTAAATTGACGGTAACCAATTAAGTATAAGTGACATTTTTTCCTTTAAGCATTTTATTCGTAATTATACTTAAAAAAACGTATAACCCTACACTCTACGCGGAAAGGCGTTAGAGTGGCATCCGACAATGATTATAATAATTCCTGAATATTATTATTATATTGGTTGTATGTTTTGCAGTCGTCTCACGCATCGTTTCCTGATCGCTCCGTTCAATCTTTGCATGGTACATTTGGCATCGAGTCAACGAATCCAATAATAATCATAATATTAAATATAGAGACTATGATCAGTCAAAGGCGAAACACCGGATTTTGACGTACATGCATATTGCTTGTCGATGGGTGAACACTACAGTATGGTGCAGCATCAATAGCTAATATTAGTGTTGTGGTTGCGCACATACTATATTGAAGTATGATATATGCGAGATATATCTGAATTAACAACATAGCATGCGGGACTATTATCTCAATCTCATACCAAAGGCGGTAAGGTCAAAAAAATAATATGCATACGAAATTTAATTAAAAACTGGAAACATAAATCTACTTTACCGCACTTTTTTTTGTTTTGGTTTAGTCGATTGTACAAATTAAATGTATTACTGAGATCTGGATTTTTTCAAGTATACGAGTATTTTTGTTATTTTATAGATTTATATTTTAATTCGACTACCGTTTACTCAGTATGCTTATAATATTACGTTTATATATCGTTCATCGAAAACATATATTTTTAGTATTCGACTTTTTCTTCTTTGGCTTTGTAATTTTTTAAATCATTTATACACAAAACCGACACTGTCCTTGATTCTATTATCTCGAGTTAGCGTTTCTAAATGTGACAGTGAAAACACAGCACAAGTGTGGCCGGTGTCTGAAGGGTACACGCGAAATTTCCATTCGACATGACCGACGCTTTTGTCCGAAGTACAACTCAAGTGTTTGATCCCACCGCCGGTTAATCGAATTCGCATTTACGCGAGGACACGAACGACTGGACCGGAAAATTCATAACGTCTCCACGTGCAACTTCAACGATGCAAGAAAAAAATACAGTCTTTTTAGATTAAAAAGACAAAATATTATACCATTACTACTAGTATGACTTCATGTCCCGCCCACATGCAGCTCACATTGTAACCGGCATCAACTACGACCGACCATCGTTTCAATAAGATACACGCTGCGGTGTAATACTATTATGGTTAATGGTAGCGCTGTTTTTTTTGAAAAGGATGCTACACTCCTTTTTTTTTCAAAGCGTTCGGTATAGAACATTATCCGAAAAATCGTAGTCTTAAGCAAAAACTAATGTCACAATAAACATTTGTTTTATAAATAAATTGTATTTTCTCAACCTGGGCATAGCTACTAACACACGTCCCAAAATCCCGAGCAAAACAAGTCAATTACCAAATTCATAAAATACAATAATTCTGAAAGTTATACTTCTAGAATTTTTGATGAATTTAAATAGAGTTTCCTAATAATTATTTAATTTAAATAGCTTTGATAAATGATTTCGTTACTAAATAAAATATTAAAAATCTGCCAACATTCGTGTCTTAAAGTTTTATTATAAATAAGTATATTTTTAAGGTTTGATTGGTGGTTTTACTCTAAAGCTACTAAAAATAAAAATTAAAAAATATTTTTAAAATACTGTCAAACGTGTTTTCAATATATTTTGCAGATGTTTTGACGCAAAATGTACTGTTTCAAAAATGTAATTAATAACAAAATATTCGATGTATAAACTTCAACATAAAGTTATGCCTATACCTAACAAGGTTTTTTGAACATTTGAATAAGAACCAGCTGTCAAACAACAAATTCCAAACTATGTAACTGGCTACAATAAAGCTGTAGAAAAAGTAGATAACCACTCGGGTTGACAATTGGATATTACAGGATAACTGTCCCGAATGAGTTAAAGTTTAATGTGATATTTACGAATTCAATTTAAAATTTAAATTGCAATTATTCTATTGTAATATGTTAATTCATATTATGTAAAATATACTTAATTAATTATTTTACATTGTGGGAAATAAAATGATATAATAGTGATCTACATTCTATATGAGTTGTTCAAGGTAACTATGTTACTTATAAATTCAATTGTAATTCTGCTATTGTATTTTTATTCATATCAGTGAAATATACTTTATTAATTAATGATTATGATCTGGGAGAGGTAATATTTGTGTTAAACTCGGGTGAATTGTTATTTTTAATGTTCCAGTGACTTTTTAAAACATACACTCCATCTCATCTAGTTTTGACAAAATATGCAATTACTTTTGTAAAAAAAACAAATAAATTTTTTAAAAAAAACTAAATATGTTTTTAATACATAATATGTATGTAATAACAAAAAGTAATATGAGAAAACTGCCATTTTCTCATACAAGGTTATCAAATTTTCGTGGACCACTCAATATCTCACTGGGTTTAATAAGAAATTTAATGTTTTCTTTACATAATGTTTTTATACAATGTGATCTCAATTTCTTACATTTTTTTTGTATTTGCCCCCGCCCCTCCCAAATTAGGTTTTTTAGATAGCAACTTTTGAAACTTTAATGGAAATGCATATATTTCTTTAACTTTTTAAATTGAGAATAATGTACTAAAAATGTTGTTTGGTAGATAACCAGTTTTGGATAACAATTTTTAATGTTCTTGAAGTTCAGGACAGGAGGAAAAGTGGAGTGTAGTATTATTTTTAACTGCGCGCATTTTCCAACCGCACTCCCCTCCCATCCTAACTTTTAAATTCTTATAACTGGAAAAAAAATGAACAATTATTTTACACAATCTTTACCGGAAAATTAAAATGTTACTCAAATAAATTTTGTGAACTTCAAAAGATATGCTTAGAGTATGCTCCCCATATGCGCCAGTTGTAATCACATTTATATCAAGTATATAATATTGTATTTAAACTTTTAATGGACCCTAGTCCGTATTTATAATATTAGAGTTTTCATTGAAAATATTGGTAAGACTATTCAAGTGTCACGTACATACATAGACAAAAAGTGTTCAATAGTGATGTCTTAAAATACATTCATATAATATTTTAGCGTCTAGTTGTGGGGTTCTTTAAGTATCAAACATCCATTAAATCGTTTTATTTTAAAGTAGGTTCACGCATGTAAACCTTGAGGGTTCAGTCAGATCTTTCAGCCTTCTTATACAATGTTACATGAAAGGGTTCACAGATACCCTCAATTTATACAGGATGAATATACAGTGGTGGTTGTCAATTTTCGTTAAGTCGTCGATTGTCCCAGGGGTTTTCAATAGCTTGTAAACTCCTTTCGAATAACGAATAATCTACCAAAAAGAAAGTAAGAAAGCACGTACGGTGAAAGTAATGTTTAAAAGTTACTTACGTACCACGTAGGTCAGTCAAACATCGAGAAAACTTGACTTTGAATTTAATATAACTAAAACAAAACAGTTGTGCATGCAGAATACAAAAAACGATCTTAAGCTGGTTTACTTGGGCTTCGGAAAGAAACTGTTTGCAAAATAATACTTATCTAATATTGCATGTTGTGGCTATAAAATGTACACTATATTATTACACTAATATAATATTATTATGAAGTATAAACTAAAATAATTATACAAGCTTAATATTTATTTTATTGATCTCGTTAATCGCTTATACTTCAATTATCGATATAAGTTATTTATTTACTATAACGAAATAATATCCCAATTTCTAAACAGATTATTCAGCTTTAAGTACATTTTAGGGATAAATTAATGATTGAGTTGGGTGCTCTTGGGTGATGTTTTTATACAGCTTAATCTCAAATTTGCATACATTTTTATGTTTTTAACCCCCTCTCAAATTGTTTTTTTAATATCAATACCTAGTTATTTTTGTTAACACTATTAGAAGCTATAATTTCCTATAAAAAAAAAATGTCGTTTAATTTTTGTATTTTAGATGTGTTACCTCAACATACATAAGTATGATTATTATTGTTAGGTGGGATTTGGGGAACACAGACTTTGGTGGTGAATATACTCTTATGTAGATCCTATAGGAAAAAATCGAATCATTTTTGACAATACTCAGTCAGTGGACAGTGGATCGGTGACCATGGATAGATCCGAAAATGATCAACTAATAAACCATCACTGTTTTTAGGCGTAGCTTAAAGACATGACATTGGAAAATTAAAATCTGAAGTTACACTTGTGGTTATCATAGTAAAGAAATAAAATAATTAAACATTTAAATAAACCCTTAACCACAAAAATGATTCTCTATAGCGTACCTATATGTATTTCGCCAGCAATGTTACTATCATCAGCGCATACAACTGACTGTTGTTTTTATTTATTTAAATATTTAGTATTATAATTTATAACCACAAGTGTTGCTTAAATTGTTTTATTAGATTTGGTTGTGAAGTAAACATTTTTTTTAAAATGACGCCTTATAAATTCTCTGTCTAAATTATTTTATTTACATTATTTCCGAAAAAATGTTGTCTTTTAATCACGATTTCATCGAATCGGTTTGATTAGGAAGTGACCTCTTTTTTTTCTTTTTTTCCTGTCTCTTCTTTCTTCTTTTTCTGATACCGGATACGCCCATCCTTCTACGAGGTATAAAATAAATTACCCACAGTATATTTGGCACATATGCCGGCGATGCGTTGAATAATTTTTACATCAGTATGGCTAAAAAACCATGTCTTTTCATAAGGAGATGGCATAGAACAAACGAGCCATTACCCGGATTAAAAGGGCACCACTC